CGGCTCTCGCCGATCAGCGGTTCGGGCGACTCGACGGGCGGCGGGGGCAGGGCTCGGACTTCGCCGAGCATGTGTCAAGTCGAGGTTGGACAGACCTCCTACCCTGACACGTCCACTGAGGAATTGGCCGTTTTCGGTTCGCGGGAGCGCGTCGCGGCCGTCATGTTTGCGATCAAGCGAGGAAAAGAAAAGCCACCCGGACCAGACAAGTGGCATCTCCTAAACGGCTTTCTGGGCGTTTACGAAAAAGCCCTGCCCTGTTGGACTCCTCTTCTGGGCGCGTTTGCCAAACGGCTTCGCGTGTCGAGGTGGTCATTATCGGGTGGGTTTTCTGCCCTCTGATGTGGCGGAGTCCGAACACTACCCCCTTCTCTCCTCGAGGCAGGCTCGGACTTTCGCCGGAGTCCGAGCCCTACTACCTCCTTCTCCTCGAGGCAGGAGAGTCGATGGCTGGTGGGGGCAGGCTTCGGACATCGCCACCCAGCTGTGTACAGTCGCCGCCGCCGGCCACCGCTGGCTGCGCCGCCGCCGCACGCCTCCGCCGCCGCCGCCGCCGCCGCCGACGACGACGACGACGCCGACGACGACGACGACGACGACGACGACGACGACGACGACGACGACGACGACGCCGCCGCCGCCGCCGCCGCCGCCGCCGCCGCCGCCGCCGCCGCCGCCGCCGCCGCCGCGGCGCCCTCCAGCGGGGGAGGGGGGGGGCCTTGCCACAGCCCAGCAAGCGGGGCCATTGAGCAGAGCCGCGGGCACGTTGCCGCTGCCGTCGCCCGCCAGCGCCGTTGATCACGAGCGGCGGAAAGGTCTCGGCGGCGAGCAAGGGGGGACGTGAGAAGGAGTAGGCATTCTCAGAAGGCGGCGGGCCCTCGCGCCTTCAGAGAAGTTTTCTGCGTCATCGGGAAAGGCTTAGAAAGCTTCTCAGAAGGCCGGGAGACTTCCGAGCCTCCTGAGAAGGCCTTCTCCTTCTCATTCCCTTCCGTTGTTCGCAGTCGGATATCCGTATCCGCGCCCTCGCAGTCAGGATTCCGGGGCGCGATCTTGCGGATACGCGGTCGCACGGATGCGTTCTGCGCGGGGCATCCGCAGAGAATCACCCGGCCCGCGAGGTCGTTCTGGGCCTCCAAGCGGTGTGGGGATTACATTGCGTGGTGAGTCAGTGGAGATCGGGGGCCACCACGCAGTTTTGGGGTTTGAGTCGTCCTCCGAGGATGCTTCGAGCGGCTGGGGCCTCCGAGGTCTCCAACCGTGCGGTCACGGACCGCACGGTGAAGATGTTGTGGATTCCCACGCGGTCCGTCACACGGTTTTTGGGGCCCCGAAGGAGCCGAGGGCATGTTGCCGCCGCTGCCGCCGCCCGCCAGCGCCGTCGCCCGCCGCCGCGCCGGGGTGAGTGCACGGGGGCCGCGCTGGCAGGCGGTCGTCGCTTTTTTCTGGGCGATCGATGTCTCGGGCGGGAGCGCTGCGATGCAGTGTCTGCCCCTGCCGTTGTCTTTGGCTCCCCGCCGTCTCCCGAGCCTGGCGCCAGATGCGGGCCAGGCCCGACCAGGGGGCGGGTTTCTGAAGCCGAGGTTCTCATCTCTTTCGGGACTTGGCATCGCTCCGACGTGTGCATGTGTTCTCGGCGAGGACGATCGAGGAGCAGAGTGGATCATCTGGCGAACAAACGTACAATTTCGAAGAACGTACGGGGAATGAACGTCCGAACGATGGCGAGGGGAGCCAGCGGGGGCAGCTGCGATGTCCTTCCAGACGTCCAGACGCGCACGCTCGTGCCAGCCTGGGAGAGTCCTTACGGGGTCCCAGTGGGGTGTTGGCAGGATCTTGGTTTAAGGTGGGCTTGTCCCTCTACAGGAGGAAAATTCAAACATTGTAAAAAGCACTAGTCTGGGGACGATGTTTTGATTATGTTTGACTACTTTTGAATCTGTTTTGAGTGTTTTTGTTTTTTCGTCCAAAATCCCCCTTTAGGGGGAAATGCTCGACCTGAATCTGGGAGGGTGTGGATGGGTGTCCTGACCGGTCTCGGCGGGGTCCCGGCAGGATGCTCGCACCCCTGCGGTGCCCTCGCTCGGAGGCGGGAGAAGCAGCTGCACCACCACCGCCACCCAGCGGGCAACACCCTGCGATGCTGTCCACGACGTGTCCCCGAACAGAGGACTGAAGACGTCTCGAGCGAGGCGCCGCAAAAATCCAGGCATCCCCAATGGGCTCCGAGGAGATGGTGTCGGAGGACCGAGCCGCATGGCCGAGGTTCCGTCGCGCCGGCGGCGCCGATGCCTCGCCGACGTCGCCGACGCATCGGCGAGGCGCTGCTGACGTGTCGGCGATGCGGCGCGATCCTCCGACCCCCTCTACTCGGGCCCCATTTGAGATGCCTCTAGGACGTCGCGGGCCCTGGAAACGGCAGGGCCGTTGTTTTACCGGTTCCGTTTTGCCGTTTTTGTTGCCGGTTCCGACGCCGTTTTTTGACCGGTTCCGTCGCCGTTTTGTGACCGGTTCCGGTTCCAATCTTGAAGCCGTTTTTTTTGCCGTTTCCGGTCGCCTTTTTTTGCCGTTTCCATTTTCAATGGACATTTCCTTCGGAATCGGTGAAAAAACGGCCCTGCCGTTTCCGGGGCCCACAAAGCTCTAGGAAAACAGGTGGACCCTGCCTGGCTCTTGCCCCTGGTGGAGGTGGCTCGGTCTTCACCTGCTCCTGCTCGTGCGTCCCGCGTCAGAGCGCCAACTCACCCAGGGAACGCACCACCCACCAGACCACCCCAACCAAGTTTTCAGGCCCCGATTTGCCCTCCATTCCGTGTGTGTGTGTGTGTGTGTGAGTGGGTGGGTGGGTGGGTGGGTGGGTGGGTGGGTTGGTGGGTGGAGGGGGGGGGATGGGGGGGTTGGGGGGGGAGATCGGGGAACATGGAACAACACACACGTGCAGCCCGCACCCCCCCAACCCGAAATTCGGGTCTTCGGGTTGGGCTGGAGTGGTCCGGTAGGCCGTCAGGAGCGCGATGCCAGCCCGTGGCGCCTTCTGTTCTGGCGGGCGGGCCGTGGCGGGCGAGGCCAGCGCACGACGCCACCGCGCGCCCGCCGCCCGGAGCCTGCCACGGCCATGCACGGGAGGGAGGAAAACACCCAGACACGATGAATCGTCGATTCCCCGGAAGATATGGGAAAACATGGGAAGTGGGGGGGAAGACTGACACCCAGAGCATATGGGAGAATACGGAGAATCTTGTCAGTTGTGTCTATTTCTGTGTGTGTTGTGTGTGTGTGTGTGCGTGTGTGCGTGCGTGCGTGCGTGCGTGCGTGCGTGCGTGCGTGCGTGCGTGCGTGCGTGCGTGTGTGCGTCCGTCTCTGTGTGTGTGTGTGTGTGTCCCAGGGCCCCTTCAAATGTGACATTCCGATTCGTCAGCCGCGTACAGAACTCACCGAGCGCGTTCCACGACGTGGATCGCAGATCCCCCTCGGCAGATCTGGGCCACTTGCGAGCAGCTACTTCTGCGAGCAGTGGAACGCGCTGGTCGAAGCACAGCCAGCAGTAGTGTTAAGACCGGTCCTGGCCCCGGAGGGGTCCTTGCTGTTGCTCGTATTCGGGCTCTCCGTTCTAGCCGTGTCTCCATGGGGCCTCTGGTCTTCGGCGAAGGGGCTCCTGTCCTTGGCTCACGTGCTCGGTGCCATGTATCGTTCCTCGATCCCGCTCGCCCTGCCCGCTGGGCTGGCGCGCGCAATGAACGCCGCCCGCCCCCGCCGCCCCGGGGCCCATCTCGATCCGATCGATCCGATTCGGGGTAGATTTTGGCCAGGCCGAGCCGATTCGATTCCGACGTCCTGGCAGTCCGATGCGGCCCGAGGCTTGCGTGGCGCTGTCATTGCATCCTGGCGCAGTCGACCCGATCTGATGCACACTTCGATTCGACCCGATGTACAGTGGAGGCCCACGCTAAGAAAGACCCTGCTTGCCTCCAGGGCGCCCTGGGTTTCTCGGGTTCCATTGGTTTTGCGATGGAGGGCGCGATGATCCCACGCCAAGAATCAGCGGGCGTCCTGGGGTCTCAGGGTCGGGCTTCTTGTGGAAGGTTTCCTGTGTCGGGTGAAGAGAATTATGCACATGCACCGATTTTGACAACGCCCATCCTTGACCCAGGATCGGTGCACATACCTTCATGGCCAAGGCAAGAGGGCGTATGCACCGATCCTGGGCTCAGGATGGTCCTGGCCAGAATCGGTGCATGTGCCTAGTTCTCTTTCCTCCATTGTGGACTGGCATCCACTGTCCCCATTCGAAGCTGACTTACCCTGCGCCCCCCCCCGCAGGGCTGCAGTCCGGCGCCTCCACCGACGGCCGGCGGTTCCGCATGGCCTACCTGCAGGGCCCAGCCCGCGCGCGCGCGCCTCCGCGCGCGCGCTCCCGCGGGCGTCCGCCTCGCAGCGGGGCTTGCCTGGAGTCGGGCCTGTCCCGCCGCAGGAGGAAGATTCGAAGCAAAGTAGTCAGGGGAGGATGTTTGGAGTAGTGTTTGCCCATGTTTGCACATGTCGTGAGTGTGTTTGTTTTCCGTCCTGAGCCCGCCTGAAGGGGGACCTGCCCGACCTGAGGCTTGCCTGAAGTCGGGCCTTTCCATCTGCAGGAGGAAGAGTCAAAGCAAATTAGTCAGGGGAGAAGGTTTGGAGTAGTGAGTGCCCATGGTTGCACAGTTTGTGAGTGTGTTTGATTCTCGTCCTGAGCCCGCCTGAAGGGGGGACATGCCCGACCCGAGGCTTGCAGCCATTCCACCGGGCGTTGCACGGCTCCAGCATGTGTGACTTCCGTGTTTGGGCTGCTTTGCGACAGCCACGGGGCCAGACACGTCGGCAGTCTGTGCTCAAGCCTTGAGGGCTCCGGTGGGGCCAGAGTACCGACACTGAGGTCCATGCATCAAGCAATGGTCGATCCTCCTGTTTGCCGCAGCCGTTGCCTAGAGTTGGATCCAAGTCTCCAGCGATTCCCTTTTGCTTTTTCTGCGACAAGCCCTCAATGAAACAGTGCGCACACGATGAATGGACTCTCTCGGCTGCGTCAGCCTGGGCGGAAAATCTGGCACCGCTGAAGATTGCCACGCACGGCAGATTCCTTTGCCAGCGGCAGGATCCTTTGCTCGACGGGGGGGGAGGGCAGGTTCAGGGGGCAACGTCGGGCGGGGGGCTGGCCGGCTGGCCCAGGGGGGGGGGGGGGGGGGGGGCAGCGTCGGCGACGGGGGGGTGGGGGGGGGCAACGTCGATCCTCCTGCGCCGCAGCCGCTGCCGAGAGTCGGAGTCAATTCTCCAGCGGTTCGCGTCTGCCCGACGGGGGGGGGGCAGGTTCAGGGGGCGGCGTCGGGGGGGGGGGTCTGGCCCAGGGGGAGGAGGCGTCGACCCAGAGGGGCCCATGCACTGCCAGTCGGGGTTGGGGTGTCTCACCCCCGGCCTCAAGTCGGGCCTGTCCCTCTACAGGAGGGATCTTCAAACATGGTTTGAAGATAGTCTGGGGAAGATCGGTTTGACACTGTTTGACTATGTTGGTGTATTGTTGGACTATTTGCTGCGTTTCTGTTCCAACATCCGCCTGTGGGGGGACATGCGCGCCCTGACCCCAGTCCTGGTTTCGCTATGACGGACCTGTCGCCGACCCCTCGGCGATTTGTCGCCGTTTTCGTTTCAACGCTTCCCCCTTTTAGCCGGTCCCCCCTTCTCTTTTCCCCTCATAGGTGCGCCAATGAGGATGAGGAGGCGGAGAGTCGGGAGGAGGAGGAGGAGGAGGAGGAAAAGGAGGAGGAGGAGGATAACAGGAGCATGCGGCGGGGGAGGAGGAGTAGAAGTGAGGAAGAAGGTGTCGAGGAGGAGGAGGAGGAGGATGAGGATGAGGCTCTGAGGAGAGCGGACTGGACGTATGAGTGCATAATGTGTGAGCCGACGTAATGTCTCAGCGACACGCGTTACGCGCAGAAGGCTGGTGTATCCCTGAGGTTCGAGGGGGAGCAGGAGCAGGCTCAGCCAGCGAGTAAGGACGCGAGGGAGAGGGGCCTGAGCCCTTCTTACTCCCTTCCATCCTCCGGTGTGCCTCCTGCTTGCTTCCGTCCTCCCTCTTCCCTGCTCCCCCTGTTCATCCCCATCCTCGTTCCTCCTCGGTCGTCCTCGTCGCTTGACGCCGTCGTCGGCGTCACCGATCGACGGCCGACGGCCCTCGGTCGTCGTCGCCGCCGTCGTCGTCCGCGGCGGCGTTTTCGACGTGATCGTTCTTCCTTTGTCGATCGTCGACGGTCGTCGGAGGACGTCGTCATCCCTCCTCACCTCTCATGCCTCCTCACCTCTCGAATCCTCATCCCGCCTGCCCCCCGCGAGCGGGGGGAGGGGGCAGTGGGAGGGGGGAATGACGACAAGAAGCGACATCGATCGACGAAGAACGATCTGTGATGACGACCACTGATGACCAATGACAGGTGACAGATGACAGATGACCGACGACGACCGATGAGCGAGGGCCGACGACGACGTCGAAGACGACCGACGGCGATCGAAGACCGACGATCGACGGTCATTGGTCGACGGCGTCGAGGATACAGTCAAGGCGAATAGTGAGGATGAGCAGTTGTTCCAGGCTACCCTTGCATCCTTGCCCCAACCGGCCCATCCTTGGTGACTTTCGCCGGCCAACCCCGGTCGAAAACGCCGACATGGCCCGTCAAGGCACTTGCCTCCCTACCGCGCATCCTTCTTCATTACGCGACGTCGACGATAGACGGCGACCGACCTCGAGGAACAATAAACGGTTTAAATTTACACTTTCGACGGTCCGCGCGGATTTCTTGGATCCGTGCTGGGCCCCCGGGTGGCGCCTCCGGCGCCGCCACTGGCGCGCTCCGCGCGCCAGGGAGGGGGTCTCCAGCGCGAATCCGAGACATCCGCGCGGACCTTCGAAAGATTCTGTTTATGCCAGCTCTTGTTCCTCTTCGACCGCGAGCGACGATCGACGACCATCGACGATAGTCTCCGTCGCGCAGAGGGGGGTGGGGGGAAAGGGGAGGGTTTCTTAGAGTCACCCCTGCTTCCAGAAGGCGCAGGCCTTGTCTGTACATGTAGGGCCGGCGCCTTCTGAGAAGCAGCTTGTTTCTCAGAAGCCCTCCCCCTACACCTCCTCCTCCCCCAACTCCTCCTCTTCCTCCCCCTCCTCCCCCATCTCCTCCTCCCCCTCCCCTTCCCCCTCCTCCCCCTCCTGCCCCTCCTCCCTCCTCCTCCTCCTCCTCCCTCCTCCCTCCTCACCTCCCTCCCCCCCTCTCCTCCTTCCTCCTCACCTCCTCCTCATCCTCCTCCTCCTCCCCCTCCCCCCCTCCCCCTCCTCCACCGCCTCCTCCTCCTCCTCCTCCTCTCCTCCTCCTCCTCCTCCCTCTCTCTCATCCTCCTCATCCCCCCCCTCTCTCTCCTCCTCCTCCTCCTCCTCCCTCCTCCTCCGCCTCCTCCTCCTCCTCCTCCTCTCCTCCCTCCTCCTCCCCTCTCCTCCTCCTATTCCTCCCCCTCCTCCTCCTCCCTCCTCCTCCTCCTCCTCCTCCTCTCCTCCTCCTCCTCCTCCTCCCTCCCCCTTCCCCTCCCCCCCCCCTCCCCCTCCTCCTCCTCCTGCTCCTCCTCCTCCTCATCCCTTCCTCCCCCCTCTCCTCCTCCCCCTCCTCCTCCTCCCCCTCCTCCCCCCCCCCCTTCTCCTCCTCCTCCTCCTCCTCCTCCTCCTCCTCCTCCTCCTCCCTCCTCTCCTCCTCCTCCTCCTCCTCCTCCTCCCCCTCCTCGTGCGCGCCGCCAAGATGGGCGGCGGCGGCGTCGGGGACGGCCCGGCGGCCGCGACGGGCGGCCGACGGCCCCAGCGCCCGCAGGCCTCGACGTGCGCGCGGAGTGGCTGGGCGCTGTCGCGGCCGCGGGCAGCGCGGTGGTGTCGCCGCCGGTGCGCCTTGCTCGTCTGTCTAGGGGGGGGGACTCGATCAGCAAGGGTGCCCTTTCCTCTTCTTCCTCCTCCTCCTCCTCCTCCTGCTGCTGCTCCCCCTTCTGCTCCTCCTCCTCCTCCTGCTCCTTTTCCTCCTCCGCCTCCTCCTCCGCCTTCTCCTCCTGCTCCTTTTCCTCCTCCGCCTCCTCCTCCTCCTCCTCCTCCTCCTGCTCCTTCTCCTCCTCCGCTTCCTCCTGAGGCCACCGATGCTCCTCCCCTCCTCCTCCGCCTCCTCCTCCTCTTCATTCTCTTCTCCTCCTTCTCTAACCAGGGGGGCCACATGCGAACCCTACCCCTCCCCCCCCTCCCCCGCGATTTCTGAGGGGCAGGGTGGGGTTCACTTGCCTCGGGAGCCAGAGCGAAGTGAACCACACCCTCCCTCTCAGAAATCGTGGGGGATAGGGGTAGGGCTCGCATGTGGCCCCCTACTAAGGCCACGGATGCTCCTCCTCCTCCTCCTCCTCGCCCCCGGTGCTCCTTTTTCTTCCGTGTGTGTGTGTGTGTGTGGGTGTGTGTGTGGTGGTAGGGGTGTCTGTGTGTGGGTGGGTGTGTGGGCGTGTGGGTGTGTGGGTGTGTGTGGTTGTGTGTGGGTGTGTGGCTGTGTGGCTGTGTGGGTGTGTGGGTGTGTGGGTGTGTGTGTGTGCGTGGGTGTGGGTGTGTGTGTGTGTCTGTCTGTGTGTGTGAGTGGGTGGGTGGGTGGGTGGGTGCATGGGGGGCACTCGTCGGACGGGGTTAGGACGACGATAAATCCGTTCGGGAGCGTTCCAGAGCGCTATCAGAGCGTTCTGGAACGCTTTGAGAAGGCCCCGGCGCCCAAGACATCCGCCAGAGCCGCCGGATCTCAGAGATTTATCCTCACCCGATTTTATCCTCGCACCGGCTCCGTCTTAGGACTCGATCAGCAAGGGTGTGCAAGATTCGGTCAATTCTGCTGCGTCGCAGTCGGTGTGGTTCGGTCGGTTCGATTCGTTCGGTTATCCTGCCGTTGCCGTATCGTTGCGCCCATCTAGGTTGCTGTCGGCCTGTCGATTTCGGTTCGTTCGGATTTCGCTGTCGATTCGGTCGGTTTTCGGTTTTGCTCTTTTTTCGTCCGTGTGGGGTCAGAGGAGCAGCAGGTCATGGTAGTGAGACGTTCCAGCAATTTTCAAGGTCGCCACGATTCCAAGGTTCCCGAATGTTCCAAAAAAGCCGCAGAAACGAGGGCTGCTAGATACTTCGGAAGTCTTGGAACGCATCCTGAGTCAATCTTAGCATGACATCATTCTCCCCTAATGGTGGGGGGGACCCGATCAGGGGCAACGTTTGTCAGAGCTGGGCGAATAGGTTCTTGACCTCCCAGACGGGTTCGAGTAGATAGGGTCGGAGGATGGCCCCGCATCGCCGATGCATCGGCGACTCGGTTCGATGTAGAGCCCGATTGTCTACACGCCGATGGCGCCGATACATCGCCGACGTCGACCATGCATCGCCCATGCATCGCCCATGCATCGCCGACGCTATTCTCCGAACCCATCTACTATGACCCCATCTAGGAGGCCTCTAACGGTAGTTGGCCCCTGGGGGGCTTTCCTCGTCGCCACGGCCGGACGCAGACCAGAAAGTTGGTGCGTTTCGACCCTGGGACGGGTCCAGGGACCGATTTTGAGCTGCCGCTGTCCTTTCACTGAGTCAAGCAGCGCCACGGTGTCGTTTGGCACCTGGGGGCGCCTGATGGCTGTCCCTGCTGAGGCCCTGCTGGCCCCAGGGTGCTTCGTACCTCCTCCTCCTCCTCCTCCTGCTCCTCCTCCTTCTCCTCCTCCTCCTCCTCCTCCTCCTCCTCGTACTCCTCCTCGTCCTCCTCCTCCTCCTCCTCCTCCTCCTCCTGCTCTGCACCGAGCTGGCGGGGGAGGAGGGGCTAATGGGTGGACGCGTCGACCCCCCTAATCGCCCACTGACCGCCGGTCGGGGCCCGATGGCCCATCCCTCGGTGGCCTTGGGCAGAGGAGGAAAAGGCTTAGTGGGCCCTGGAAACGACAGGGCCGTTTTTTACCGGTTCCGTTTTGCCGTTTTTGTGCTGGTTCCGACGCCGTGTTTCTTCCGGTTCCGTCGCCGTTGTTTGGCCGGTTCCGGCTCCGGTTCCAATCCTGGAGCCGTTTGTTTGCCGTTTCCCATCGCCGTTTTTTTTTGCCGCTTCGGTTTTCAAGGGGCATGTTTTCTGGAAGCTGTGAAAAAACGGCCATGCCGTTTCCGGAGCCCACTAAGGGAAAAGGTACCCACACCTCTACCCTTCGGCAGTTTTCCCCTTTTTGGACCTCCTCGGAGGATCTCGTCGCCACCGCTGGATTCGCCTCGAAATTCTGGTCAGAACGCACCCCAGGAGAGGTCTGGGGAGTAGCGGTATGGGTACCTTTTGGTTTCCCTATTGGACATGGGGGTCAATGCAACCGGGGGTCAGCCAGAATGCCCGATCTTGCAGGATCCTGCATGGCCATGGGCGCACTGACCCGGGCTTGGGTGCAGGATTCTGCAGGATCTTGCAGGATCTTTCGCATTGACCCGGGCTCGGAAGGATCTTCTTGCAGGATTTTGCGAGCTTGAAGGTTCTTTCTCCTTGCAGGATCTTCTTGCAGGATCCTGCAAGTCCTGACTGACCCGGGTCTGGATTGACGCAGGTCAGAAGATTCCCGACATCTCGCCTAGGAACGTGTGACTTCGCCATCGAGGGCTTCTCGCCGAACTATCCGCGATGCTCCGCCGATGCTGCAAGTCAGTGTTTCTTCTCTCAGCCAGCCTCCCCGATCGTTCCTCCGCGCAGATGAGACAGAGGAGATTCGAACGAGGAGGCGGAGGCCTGGGAGGAAGAGGAGGAGGAGGACGAGGAGGGGGACGAGGAGGAGGAGGAGGAGGAGGAGGGTAACAGTGCCCCCGTGAGAGACAGCCGCGCGGGCCTCCGACCGTTCGTTCGGGGGCCCCCAGACGGGGCGGTGACCTGGGAAGCAGCTGCGCCTGCCTCTGTTCAGCCCGCACGAGTGGCCCTGCCTCCTGCTCCTCCTCGCCCCTCCTGTTCCTCCTCCCCCCCCTGTTACTTTTGTCACCCCTGTGAAGCGGCAGAGCTGGTCCAAGTCCGGTCTGGATGCCGTCCAAAATGTGTTCCAAATCTCGGGGGTCCCCAAACGGGGTGGTAACCACACCGTGCGGTGAGTCGGTGGGGATGCGGGGTCACCGCTCGGTTTTGGGGCTCGGGTCGTTCTCCGAGGACGTCTGTCGAGCGACTGGGGCCTCCGAGGTCCCAAGACCGTGCGGTGACGGACCGTGCGGTGAGGTCTTGGGGGATTTCGAGGTCACCGCACGGTCCGTCACCGCACCGTTTCGGGACTCCAAATTTATGTTTGTGTACAGGCGGCCGGGATTAGTAGGTCGACGCTGCCAGATCAGGGGTACCTTCGTGTCCTGTGTCTTGCGACCCCTGTCTCCCGCACTCCTATGGCGATGTGGCCCTCGGAAGGGTTTTGTGTCCTCTCGCGTGTCCTGTCCAATCAAGTCCGACTGTACGTTGTTCCCCAATCGTTGCTTGCACTGAAGGGGTCCTATAGCGGAAGTTGAGAAATTTGGCGGAATTTCCCCGCCGATTTTGGTGGCAGGCCAAGTTTCCGGGTTCCCGGCTCCGGGTAACCGTCTTCCCAGTTATTGGTTCTGGGCCGATTTCGGTGGGTTTTGGGTTCCCGCTTCAAGGATTTCGGAGCTACGCCACATGCAAGATGATTGCAACAATTTCTAAGTAGTTTCGCGGGGGTGATGTATAATTGCTTCACAACTTATTTATAACGTTCTGTAGCTTTCTCGCTCGTATCGATGTCGCTCGTGCTGCCTGTGTTAACTTCTCATAACTTCCCACAGCTGTTCGCAATTGCTTGTCACTTTTCGTAACTTTTCGTGGCTAGTCGTAACTGTTCACATCTTGTTATAGCATCTAGCCGATGGCTCGTTGGATCTAGCATCATGGCCAGGGCGAGCCGCTGGCTCGTCGGGGGGGGGGGGCGGCGAACGCGCCGAAGGCGCAGGCGCAGACCTGCCCTTCGGCGCGTTCGCCCGAGGAGTCAATTTGCTTCGTCTTCCTCGGCGCCTCATCCTCGCGTTCCATCTTCATCACCATTATCGTTATCCTTCTCCTCATCCCTCACCTCCCCCCTCCTCCTATCAAATCGTCATCATATCCTCATCCTGCATCATCATCACGATTTTCCTTCACCGTTCCCCTTCTTCTCATGAGCATCACCATCGCACTGTCTGTTGTGTTGTAACAAATTATGTATGGGTGTGTTTATTTGATCCCAGAACTTTAGGTCAAGGGCATGTAATGTAACTATATATATATATATGTTTCGAGGATGTCTCGAGCGTTTGGCGTAACTACAGTCTGCGTAACTGAGCGTAAGTGTAGTGTAACTGACGCGTAACTGGAACGTAACTGAAACGTAACTAGCACGTAACTGGATGTATATGGTGGTCGTTGACGTCGGTATAATCGTTGTCGGTATCGTCATCGTAGTCGTCGACGTCCTTGTCGTAGTAGCCGTCGTAGTCCTCGCCGTCTTCATTGTCGCCTGCATCCCGACATCGCAAACTCAAATATCATGTGTTGGTGTGTTTTTTGCCTACAAAGACACATACAGTCCTCACCGCGGCGAGCCAGCTGAGCGGAGACAGCGGAGTGGCACTCGAGCAACGGTTCTACACGAAACCTGCAATCCAGCATGTCGCACGCCAGCTGGAATCCGCGCCCGCTTATCTCGAGGGGGCGGCATGGGCTCAATCAGCAAAGCTTGGGCCTGAATGTGTGGCAGTACGACAGAGTTCAAACGATAGCGATCGAATGGAACACGCGCTGCGTAGTTTGGGTTTTTCTTGCTTGTTAGTATATGTGATGCGTTTTGTAACTGTCCGTACCTTTCCATATCTGTTCATAATTGATCATCTTTTCC